TGTGATATTCTCTCTGTTGTCTCCATAAGCGTTCAATTCTCTGGAATTATTAGCAATTCAATAAATTAATGAGTGGAAAATAGACGAAATTCAACAATACTCCTTTATACCTATTGATAATTGCACATGTACATTACATATGATTTATATTGAATCATTAATGCTTTTGATACAATGTGTATAGTTTCGTCAATGTAAAGAGTATGTATACAGTACATCCGTTACAGAATTGAGGAGTTAGATATTTATAGGGTAATATTGGATTTATTAAAATAAATTTTGAAAATGCTTCCATACAGGCACAGAGACCTTGTTTGAATGTCTAGTGACTTCACTCCTGGAACTACCTGATTTTGCATTGATGTGCCATACACATGACTTTTCTCTCCAGCTAAGTTATCAAAGCAATTTTGCCTTAGGTATGTTTGACAGGTTGCCAAAATTCCATTTTCTGTACCAGCATCAGATCTTGTCAAAGAAGGAACCACTATACAGGGTGTATAAAAAAAAAGTAGACAATTTTGAAATGTTTAGAAAACTATAAATTTATCAAAATATCTCATAGATTTGTGCTAGTATGGGTACTTTGGCATCTTCAGGTCATTCTAACACTAAAAACAAACAGAAAAATTAACTGCACGGCAACATTTCCCTATGTCAAATTGAGATGAATCGCATCCCTTCTTGATGGCTTTGACCAGCTGAATCAGTTCCAACTGATTTGCTGCCATACTTTTAAAGTCTCTTTTCAGTGAGACTACCTCATTTTTTAGTGATTTTATCTCTCTCAGTGCTTCTAACATTTGACAGAACAGTAAAATTATTCATACATGAGTGTCAGGGAAAATCCTTGTTAAGGGAAAACCCATGTTAAGGGAAAACCCATAACATAAATAAGAGGGAAAAACCCTGCAAAAAAGAGACAATGAAAAAGTATCCACATTCATGCAGATAAAATGAATTACCTTCACTACAGCTGCCAGAGGTGCTACTGATAGTACTGCTTGTCGGTTGGCTTACTATACGAAAAATCAAGTTTGAGCAATTATTTTTGTAAAAAATAAATAGCTTTGATATATGCTACAAAATAGTACTTGAATGTATTTGTTACCTTCAAACAGAGTATCTTCAGTAGGCAGTATAGCTCGAGGTACAGCTCTCCTGACACTGACAATCGACGGCCTAATGACCCCCCTATATATACATATATAAATATATACATATATATATACATATATATATACATATATACATATATACATATATACATATATACATATATACATATATACATATACACATATACACATATACACATATACACATATACACATATACACATATACACATATACACATATACACATATAAAACGGCAATCTGTTCTTAAACTTTGTTTTTCTTGAAAGGTCCAAATGCAGTCTCGTAACAGAAAAGCTTTCTTCTTTAACATTGATACTATTGTACTGAAATACGAGCAAAAGGCATTCGAAATTAGTAATGGTTCAGAGGTGTAGACAGAGTTGATGTTGAACATAGGGGAAGATAATGTAGTAGGATTGCTCGGATATAACTTTTTAATTGTGTTCCAGAAGCTGTCCAAATTGTTTGAAGTTTCGTTCAACAGATCTCTATAGTAAGCTTGTTTTGATTTATTCAGCAAAGAGTTAACTTGATTGCGTTTGGTCTTATAGGCAAGCATATCAGCCTCTGATTTAGTTTTCCTGAATTTGCGTAACAACATATCGCGGTTGTTCATTGCCTTTTTTATCTCATTTGTCAGCCATGGAGATGGTTTTCCACGGATGCGTTTCCTTATAACAGGAGCAACCTTATCAAAACATGTTAAAACAATATCTTTCATATAATCCCAGGCATAATTTACATCATCTGTTTCGTAAACAGGTGACCAATCATGCTTACGCAATTCGTCACACATCAGTTCCTTGTTATAATTTTTCGTGTTTCGACAGTTTATAACCTTTAACGCATATTTAGTATGATTTAGTTTCCTTACACAGCCAATTAAATCATGGTCACTGAATGCAATTGGAACAACATCCGTATGAGCAATAACTAAAGGGTTATTATTGATAATAACATCAATTAATGTGCTGGTATTTAGGGTTGTCCGGGTAGCTTTCTTCACGATTTGTTTAAATCCATTTACCGAGATAATTCGTTTTATTTCAGGATGATCTTCTCTTCTGAGATAATTGACATTCAAATCCCCTAGGACAATTACTTCTTTAGAGTCAACCACATGTAACATATTTGCAAATAAGGTATTAAAATTTGCATGGAGATAAGATGAACAGTCCGGAGGCCGATAAATAACACACATCAGAAAACTTTTCGACTTAATCGGAAATATCTCAAGCCATACAGACTCCAACTCAGTTTCCAGGTCATGTCTCCTTGTCCAGTTTATCCTATCCGAAATATAAATACCAACACCACCTCCCAAACCATTGCATCAAGATCGGCTAATAAATGAATAACCCCCAATAGAGTACAATTCTTCGGGTTCGTCTTGTATATGTGTTTCGGTAAGAGCGAGAAAATCAACCTCGTCGTAGGTCGTGAGAAGTTCCGTAACATGCAGTAAATTATTCCACAAACCTCGCACGTTTAAATGAAGACACTTCAAGCCACGCTGTCCGAGACGTATTCATTCTCTGGTCCAGGACAGAGTTCAATATCACCACCAAGCAATAACAACAATCGTAGATCAAGCTTCTTCCCAACATGATGGACATCACTGATCTGCTGATAGCACCATAACGATTGAGATACTAGCGATTGATTTGCATCAGTCATTTCTTCGCCATAAAAAGAGTAACAAATTGAGTTTGCCGTACTAAAACTAGGTTTCTTTAAGCAGAAAATTCAAAATAACTGCAGAGCAATTTTCAGCATGACCGGCATGACCGCCATGTTGAGTACCACTCGAGTTGTAATAAGATCACTCCTCTTGGTACTCCATCTGCTCCTTTTACGATACGAACAACCTTGCCTTTCATCCACTTTCCGCGATTTTTCTCTTCTCCAACGATTAGAACAATCTCCCCAATTTCTGGTGGCAGCGTCTTCTCTCGATTGATACGATGGCTTTCCATCAATCCATGTATATACTCCTTCCGTAATCGAGACCATACATGTTCTCTAGCCTTTACTAGTCGTCGTTGAAACTTTGTCAGTTCTTCATCTTCCAACTCGATCTCTTCTAAGGTATGCGATGATTGTCCCCACATGACCGAGTTTGGGGTCAGCGTCTTCTCATCACCTCCATTACTGTCAACATATGTTAGGGGGTCTATTGTTTAAATGTCTTTCGATATCCATTACGACCGCTTCTAGGTGTACAAACGAAAGATGCGACTTTCCTAAGGTTTTGTTCAACGTCTTCTTTATCTCTTTAATTATTCTTTCATACATGCCGCCCCACCACGGTGATTTGGCCAAGTTGAACTTCCAAACTAAGGGTGGCCAAATGATTCTGTAATTGTTCGCTTTTCCGGATCTTTCGAATCAAATTAGCGGTTGTTTTGAACACTGCGGCATTATCTGATATTATCAGTTTGGGTCTTGTTTTCCGCGTTATGAATGAATTCAACTTTCTTTGGAATTCCTCGGCAGATTGGAATTTGGTCACTTCTGAGTGGACTGCTCTGGTCACTGCACAAGTGAATATTATGATGTACGCCTTTGACTCTGTTTTGTCCTTCTTTCGGTATGTCAATGGACCAGCAAAGTCCACACCTGTTTGCTGGAAAGGCCGGATAGCTTCGAGACGGAAATGTGGTAATGACGCCGTAGTAGTTGGTTGTAATGGTTTCGCCGGAAACACGTTACAAACGTTACAATCTTTTATAAATCTCTTTACTAGCGAGCGAAGACGGGGAATCCACCACTTACTTCTTATGTCAGCCATAGTACTCGCAATCCCCAAGTGCATAATTTTCTCATGAGTATGTTTAATCAATTTTCTTGTGAAAAGCCCGTCCTCTAGGTAAATCGGTGAGTAATTTGGTATTCGTCCTTGACACTTCAATATCTTCGTTTCTGGATCTTCTACTAGAGACCAACCTGGAAGCTCGAGTTTCTGTGGAAGGTATGTCTGCTCTCGCTGTATCCAGCAGTTCTGTGCTTTTGAAATCTCAACTGTCGTTAGGGGACCGCTGCTTTTCTTTAACCGACACTTCTTAGCCCGAAGGTTGTCACAAATCTGATGATCCATGCCGTTATACGAATCGTGCTCCAATAAGTCTTACGAAGTAGAAGTTTATCTAACTCATCTTGTTGGCGTTCAGCTACATAGGATACAACCTCACTGATGGGTTTCTGTTCCAGTTTGCTTTCTGGCGATAATTTCAGGATTGGTTGTTCTGGTCAATGTTCCTCATCCAACAGCCACTGAGGTCAAGTATACCAGCCAGCCTTTTCCATTTTGTTAAGAGAAACCCCTCTACTTCCAAGATCTGCCAAATTACTTCCGGATGGACAATATTTCCACTGAATTCCGACTTCTTCTGTGATTTCCGCCAACTTCTTCACCCTGTTCGAAACGAATGTTTTCCACGATTTCCACGGATTAAGAATCCAATAGAGGGACACAAGACTGTCCATCCATATCACTACTAATCGGAGGGGCAACCTCTTTAATGCTTGGGTCAGGTTCCACGCTAAGTTCGCTCCCATGTGACCACTGACCAATTCCAGCCTGGGTATGGAGGTGTTGCGTTTCGAAAGTCGAGATTTAGACACTAAAAGTCCTTTCGACTTTGAAGATTCTTGCTCGATCACCGCGATTGCTACCGTTGAGCACGCCATTGCACTAGCGTCAGCAAATAAGTGGAGGTCGATAGCTTTGGTTGCTCCAACTGGGACCAGACTCCTTGGAATCTCAACATCATGCAATTGCTTTGTCCAATTGTTCCACTGTTTCGTAAGTTCAGAGGACACTTCCGTGTTCCAACTTTTACCTTTCTCGCACGCGTCTCAATATAAACGTTTCCCCTCGACCATTGTAGGTGAAATTATTCCTAACGGGTCATAAACTCTCCCCAAGTTACTAAGAATAGTTTTTTTCATTAATCTTGCATCCTCGTCTCGTTGCACCTGGATCTTGAGCGTGTCCTTAGTCTTATCCCAAACATGTTTTAATATCCTTCCCGGATTCGGCATGTTTTCACTCTCAAGGCTTGATATGTTGCTCTCCCATTTGTGCACTGGGAATTTCCCACTCTCTAACATTTCTGTGGCCTCTCTTTTGAATTTCTGAAGGTCTTGAATTTCCGCCCCAATCATCATCAGATTATCGACATATGTGTTTTCTCGGAGTCTGCTCACAGTATCACGAAATGTCTCAGGTTGCTGGTCGTAATGATGTTCTAAAGTCGCACCCAACATAAAGGGGCTTGTTTCGACTCCGAACGGTACTCGTGCGGACCGAAACAACTCATCCTTCCCATTGATGTTGAAGATAAAGCGAAAAGCATCCCGATCTTCCTCACTGAGACCAATTTGTAGGAATGCCTTCTCAACGTCTCCTATCAATAAATATGGTGACATCCGCGCTCGCACCAGTATGTCCCAAAGCAGGGGTTGTAAAGGGGGGCCTGGGTACATGCATTCGTTGATACTGTTTGATGTTGGCTGTGGTTTGGCGCTCGCGTCAAAAACCATCCGAGTTTTCGTCGTAGTGGCGTTTTGCTTAATGACGGGCTTGTGAGGCATATAATATACCCGTTCCCTGGTAGGTGTTGTCGGAGCCTTTTCTATAATACCAGCCATCACTTGGTCAACAATGATCTTCTCGTAATCCTTACGTAGGCCTGCATCACTTTCCAACTTCTTCTCTACTCGCCTTAACCGAGCTTTACTCTGGGCTTCGTTCGTCTCGTTTAAATGACTTCCAGGGATCCAAGGGACCTTCACTACGTATCTTCCATTCTCATTTTGCACAATGTTTTCCTTAAACTCCTTGTGTAAATCAAGTTGACTGTTCTCCCCCCGATCTTCTACCTCTAGTACATCTAAACTGTAGAGTTGGTGGCAGTCCTGAAACTCCCTAGAAAACCAACACCTGTCACTAGGAAACTCCCCACCATGGATTATCCAGCCGAACGTAGTACCCTCGACTATGGGGTCAGCTGGTTCGCCCTTGAAAACTTCTTCTGTTTTAATTCTACAGTACGTGGTATCTCCAATAATGACATGCATTTGATACTCATCTCCATGCTTCATATAAAATTTCTTATCGGTAATATGTTTGTATTTCGACTTTAGATCTACCAGGTTTGGCCGCTTAACTGTTGTAAAGTCAGGCATATTACTGCCAGTCAACTCGATTTTTTCATTTGCCTTCCCATCAAGTGATGTGATGGTTACTTCAAAAATTGGAAAGGCCTGTTTTGTAGTCCCGCTTAAGGTGACTATCTGACGTGTCTCATGCCGGACTGGGGTTAACTTTAACTTTCTAACTGTTTCACTCGAAATAAAATTGCGACTTGATCCAGAATCCAAATAGGCCCAAAGGGTCCCACCCTTTATATTAACAGGTATCATTGGTGGAAGTGTTTGACCTTCAACTGGTGATGTATATCCTGTGAATACTGAGTTACCAGCATCATCTTCTTTGTCACAGAGACTGGTATGATGCCTGGCTTTACATTTCACACAACCTCGACTGTGGCATTTATTGGCTCTATGCCCACGCCTGCCACAGTTGAAACACAGTTGATTGTCAACAAAAAACTTCTTTCTTGCTTCTAATGTTACAACCGTCTTACAATCACTTCCCCAGTGATCCTTCTTACAAAAGGTACATACAGGAGTAGTTGACTTACCTCCCTTTGATTCAAACCACATACCCTCTTTTCGGGTTTCTCCTGGATCCACCTTGTGTCTGCTCAACCATTTACGAATTTCATCAATAAGACCTCCCATGTCCCAGTTTTTCCACTCTTCATCCGTACGTACAAGATCTGGCTTCACTTGAGGTAACTTATTGATAGTCGTCATCACAAATCCTTTTAACATGTCACCTTCACCCAATGTCAACAACGCCTCATAGTTCCTACTCAGCGCTTCGTAAAACTCACGAATCTTTGTGTAATTGTATCCTTTTACCACAGGCAGACTAACAATTTCGTTTACGTGAGAGTTAACTACCAATTTCGTTTGTCCGTACTCCTTTTTAAGTCTGTCCCAAGCCATTTTGTAGCCCACTCCGCTGGGTTTTAAATTAGCAATCTTATCCCTGACTTTTTGACACACCATTTCTAATAGATACCCAAATTTCTCCTCGTCTGTTATCGGTTTTTCGTGCACTTGTGTCAAAAATATGTTCTCAAAACGTACCCAGTCCGTTGGTGTACCTTTAAACGGCGTTATCTTTAATTTCGGCAGTTTCGCAGTCGTTGCTCGGGCTGATTTCTCCATTTCCATTTTCTGTTGTGTCATACGTAGCTCAGCCTCGAGTTTCTCCTCCCATAGCTTTCTTTCGTGCTCGTCTTGCCTCTCGAGAAGTTCCACCATTCATCTTTTGTGTTGTTCTTGTCGTCTCTCTTCTACTTTGATTTGACAACGCTCGGATTCACGCTCTAAATTGTCGTTTCTCCCCTTAATCGCACGTGTTAATTTATCTTTTTCTTGAACTAAAGTTAAACACGAAGATCGAACCTCCTTTTTCCATTGTCTCACTGTACGAGGCGTTATTCCGTGATCGAGTTTCATCTCCTCTGTCTGGGCTATTACGTTTATCAATTTATTGATTATTTTCCCCGCTCTCTTTTCCAAAATTTCCATTTCGCCGTAGTCCTTACTTTCGATTAACTCATCTGCTTCTTTCAAAAAGTATTTTAATTTCAAGATTTCCTTTTTAATATCGTCTTCGAGCTTCTTTTCATCTTCGTTTACTTGCATCCCTTCGTCGGATTCGTCGCCCATGTTTTGTCGTTAGTTGTTTCGATATCTCACAAATTTCACAACGTATCGCATATTTTCTCAATATTCAATCGCATATCCTGGTCACGGCACCACAAATGTACCGAATTTTTCTATACATTCAATATATTTTTGTACTTCAACACTCACACTTTACAAATTCTCTTCAATTCTGAATTACTCTCTCTTTGCTCTCTCGTTAAACCCGAATTAATTAACAGAAAAGAAATTACTATTTATATATTTCTATAAATAGAGGTACTGTCCGAGCCGTCCGTACAGTCCTTCGGGAATTGACTACAAGACCGTGGTGACGTATGTTTTCCCTATGACAATAAAATCAATTAGATATATGTGAAAGCAGTGAAACTGAAACATTCTGACCTATAACATGTAAATTAACCTTTCGCTAGTTAGATTTCCAGATATGCAAAAGGAGAGTCTGCTGACAATATTCTAAGAAGTGAAATACAAACAACCCCCCCCTGATATGTTGAAAGATTTGTGAAAGAGTTTATAGACAATAAATAGCTCAGCCCGGGATTAGGAACATTATAGTGAGAAAGTATTTAAACAATAAATCGCTCAGCCTGTTATAAGTTCAAAGATATCATATTTATCATATTATTCATACACAAAGCCGAAGTATTATTGACCTCATTGGTTGAATTTCTTCAAACTTCTGTTCAGAAAGGCATTCAAGGGCGTTTAAGGACTATCAAAAGTATATACCATATTTTATTGATCTAGAGTATTCACCACCAAGAGTTTTCATGAGTGTTTAGGTTTTAGCTAAGTCTACTTCACTTGAATTAGAATGCTCCCCAAAGGAAAAATGAGTCTACAAGCTTTTCACAAAATAGTGCTGAGTTCTGCACTTTGAAAAAACATGTTGAGCAAGTGGATGAAAAGTTGAACACAATAGTGGATATCCTCAAGTCAAGCAGTTCATCGCCAGGCAGCTCTTCATCGCTTGCAAGTTGTTAATTTGAAAGCACTCCAGAGAGAAAGGTGATCAAACTACTTTTTTCATTAATGCGACTTAAGTGAATTAAAATAAGACAAAATGCAAGTTAGTCCACAGTATACTATAAGTTATGGACCCCAGGGTACTGTTATGGGAAACAAGTTATTAACCTTTCAGCCTCAGACTGCCGCAGTGAGCCTAACCTGAAATTCAGGCCCTATAAATAAATAGGGCCTGACACGTACAAAACATGTATAGACCATGGGATGCCCACATCTAATTTTAGACAAAATAAAACAAAACGAGTGACAATAACAATATGATTGAGAAGGTTGTATATTTCATTGTACATAGTAATAATATTTATTGCTGTTTTTTCAACATCATATGTTGAGATTCTGATTGTATGCTTTAATTCTAGTTGATGACGTGTGTGACTGAGAGAAAATATATTTTTCCAGCTGAAAAGTTCACAAGAAAAATTCTGTGAAGTTACTCATTTTCATTACGTGGAAGCAATTAACATGAAATAAGAAATAGTTGAAAATCACAACGTGATAATTTAATTTTGCAAAACAAAGTATACCAAGATGCTATGCGTTATAATCATTAGATGAGTGTGTGACACAAATAATGACGTGTGTGACACAAATAATGATGTGTGTGACTAGTGTGAAATCTAACATTGTTTTTCTTAATATTTAACAGAAAATGCGCTGCAAAGGCCACAGTTTTAAAACATTCGTAAAGTTTTAACAAATAAAACTGAAATTCAGTTTTTAACCAAGTGCTTCGAATGTTTTAGCATTCTGTAAATTTTACTCAATATTTTCAAGTATTAATTCCGGAAAGGAAAACTGTCCACGGTTTCCAGCGACTATAGGGGGGAAAGTCTCTGAACAACATTTTCGTAGCTGTAGAAAATGTTATCTTGAACAAGAAGCCACTTGTAATGTTTTCCAGATTTCTGCATCACATTCACTTGCAGATGTTTCTCGTCAGCATACTTCACTTCACCAGGATATGACTGGCCATCTCCGTCATAGGTCACCAAAACCCAATCACCAACAGAGATTCCCTGGACTTCTGCTTCATCTTCCTCATCACTTTGTGCTTTCGTCGCAGTTTCAAAACACACATCGATGGTCTCATCACTTAAGGCATTTTTTCGCAGCTTGATTTTAAATTCTTCAAGAAAATGGGTTGCCACATGACATTTAGTAATACCTGGTATTGCTGGGAGATTTTCCTTCCACAAATTTCTGGTTTCTTGTTCGCGCCGTATTTCTCTTTCTGGAATATAGAACACCATTGTATTTGGTATCAAGATTCTAGCTGTATCAGCAAAATCTTTCGGAGATTGGACTATTGTGGGCTCTGAAGATTTGCTCATCACTTTCTGTTGAACCAACGATTTTGCCCTGCCACCAATGCCATCGACAATGCCTTTTCCATGAGATGTGGCAGAGAACTTCCATGTGAACCTTTTCTTGAACGTGACAGACAATTGGTAAAGCAGCTTCATTGTGAATTTATTCTTAAATTCTGAGGTAGGACCATCACTCCATATAATCTCTTCATCAACTTCATCACTTGGAAAAAGATGACTTTCATACAAGGCAAAGAGAAATGCAGAGACAGTATCTTTATCTTTTTCTCTCATGTCTGAACATATCAGATAACTTTGGCATGAATCTTTGGTTATTGCGGCAGCAGCGAATAATGTGACGCTTGCTCTGCTCCATAAAGCGGATTTGTATTTCGTTCTGGTATTCACACGAATAGTTCATGGCAAAGTCAATTTGAAGGACTCTTTTGTTTTCACCCTCCTTGTCTTTCTCAAACTCTTCTGCTTGGATTCGCTTGGTGTTAACATGGGTTAAGATAGCATTCCAGTCATCAGTAAGTTGTTGTAGCACTTCTCCTGCGCATTCTTCTTTTAACCGGCACTCTAATTTCTTGTAAGACCTTAATTCTTGTTGCATTAACATCTGAATCTTGATTATCTTCGCTTCTTTTCTCACTTTCTTTGATGCATGTTTCCCATTGCCGCCACTGAATCGTTGCTCCTGGATCCAAGGATAGCTTGATAAACTTGCCATTTTCACAATCTTGGCATTCCCCCCACCAACAGAGAGAGTTTATGGTCGTATCACACAAGACATCTTCCCAAAAGGTCGCATATGGTAATTTTAGAGACTTCAGCTTAAGAAATAGATTTTCATGTGTTTTGCACTTGCACTGATCAGCAGGAGCCTGCTTCATTAGGAGGACATTCTTCGGTCTTAATTCACAGAACTTGCTGAATTTAACACGCTCGAATTCCCCAGCAGATGAGACGTAAAGTTGATAAGGTTCTCTAAGAAACATTACCAAGTAGAATTTCCTCAATTTCACTTTCTTTCCTTTCTCCCAAACAGTGATTTCATCCTTCATGCCAGGCATTGTGTAAGATATATCTGGACGATAAAAGAAGTTAACGAACGAGTCCACGACTTCATCTGCTAATGGTGGTCTTCCGCCTGGTCCTATAGCCGAATCCATCTCTTCACCCAGGTTTAAACCGACGCGCTTTGCTAACCCTGCTACAACACATTGTCTTTTGTTTGGAGATGATGGAAGAGCTCTAAATGACTTGTTGATTGCCTTTCCAAAGCTCTGCGGCCACTTGAATGAATTTGGGGGGCTTGATGTTGGTGAGATGCCTTCGGAGGGGGAACTACTAACTGGTGTTGAACTGCTCTCCAAATTGTCAGGTTTCAATGCTCGGGACTTCCTTTTTCTTTCACATGCATTTCTCTTATACTCGAGTTTTTGTTGGGCAGACATATTGGCCACTCTCTTTTTTCTACAGGCTTCAACCCATTTACTTTCTTTTTGCTTAAAATCTGCATCCGCACTCATTTTGGTTCTGTACTTTTGAACTGCTTTTCTATTTGATAGCTTCCTCTTTTCATTTTTCAGCTGCGTGGCGTTCCTGGTAGGAGTTGATTCATTATCCTGTAGAAATATTTTGAACTTTGCGCGTTAATTTGATTGTTTATGCTAATTAATTGTCAATCTTGTATTGCTCTTTTCTATAGTTTGTTTAACAACCTTTAAGATGATTTTCAAAAAACTTACAAAACCTTAATTAAGGCGGAAGCTCATATCTTTAATATACGGTGTATCATATTAATTCTGACAATACTTAGACTTGGCGTGCCATTTTTTAAAAATTATTACACTTATTGGAAGACAAATATTTGGGCCTAAAACGAAAGTTTTCACATCTTAAAAAGTTCGAAACACAAAACCGGAAAACGATTTAATTTAATTAAATTTGTTTCTTGTGCAAATGACACACCTCCCTCATGCACCTCATGGGTAGCATAGCAACAACTTGCACGAATGCACAATTTTTAAATTCATAAAAGTCACTAGAAAGATTATGTTTTAAAGAAAATATTTCCAAGGTTATTGATTGAAAATTAAAAGAAAAACGTAAGTTCAAACATACTATAATTTTTGAATCAAGCTTTTGCCGCATTTCAACGGCAACAATTCAAATTCAACTTATGTAGCTGTGTCTTGACACAAAAAGTATGACGTGTGTGACATCATGTTGGGCCTAGTTTTGTTGTCA